TGACACACATCACTGGTCACTCTTCTACACTGACACACATCACTGGTCACTCTTCTACACTGACACACATCACTGGTCACTCTTTGGTATGAAAGTCAGCCTCACTTTCTCCCTTTCACAACCTCTCCAGCATTTATTAACAGCAAACGACCCAGGAATGCTTACTATATATTCTAAGTAACAACCCAACACTACAACCTTTATTTTTTTTATAAATAGTACACTCTTTTGATTGTCTCTTGTTCCCTTTAGATGAGATTTCATCTTCTTGATATTGAAGGGTTTTGAGATCTTCTTCCTTTCTTATTGTTATAAAGCATACCATGCTTATCTTGCATCTTCTCTGCTCCAACCCTAAAATATTTTGACAACAGAGTCTTTAACAATAACTTAGATCCAGGCACACTGCCTCAAAAGTTTGAGACAGAAGGATCTTGAGTTCAAGGCCAACCCAGGATGCACAAAAAAAAAATCAATAAACGTTGTGAAAACCCTGAAGGCTAGATATGTAGCATAATGGTACAACACTTGTCTGGCACTCAATAGGCCCTAGAATCCATTATCGGTAAAAGTAACAACAATAACAATAAAGTAAGTAAAAAATAAATTGCACTTAATATAACGAACTCTAATGTGTGTGACTATTGATGCCTAAATTTTACAAATGTGCAAAGCAATGCCAGACATTAATAATATGGAAAATTGTGAGACAGAGAGATGTTGCTATGCATGGCAAGTCTATTATCTGCTTATGAGAATTAATTTTATGCGTCAACCTATGGTGCCCAGGTACTTGGTCAAACACTATTATAGACATTAGCATAAAGATATTTTTAGATTCTTTTTCTTCTTTCTTTTCTTTTAGTTTTTCATAACATGGTGTAGTATGAAGAGGGGCAGGCTGCATCCCACCACCCGGCTAGCTTAACCCCCAAAATAATTACACAGAAACTGTATTCATTTAAACACTGCCTGGCCCATTATATCCAGCCTCTTCTTGGCTAACTCTCACATCTTGCTTTAACCCTTATCTAGTAATCTGTGTATCACCATGGGGTCGTGGCTTACTGGGACGATTCTAACCTACGTCCATCTCAGGCCAGAGAATCATGGTGTCTGCCACATTGCCTTTTCCCCAGCATTCTGTTCTGTCTACTCAGCCCACCTAAGGGCTGCCCTATCAAAAGGCCAAGGCAGTTTTCTTTATTCAAACAATGTAAGCAACACATAGAAAGAAGACCCTCCCACAACAACATAGTATCTCCAAATAGCATCCCTTGCTGTCCTGGAACTCGATTTGTAAACCAGGCTGGCCTTGAACTCAAGAACACAGAGAACTGCCTGCCTCTTCCTCCTGAGTGCTAGCATTAATGGTATGCATCAGCAAAGCCTGGCTAGATGTATTCTTTTAAGTCATAAACCTGGGATCAATAATGTAAGTGAACTATATCCAGTAAATGAAGGTTTTCTTGTGAACTCAGATTTAAGACTGAATTCTGAACTTTTCCCTGAATTTCAAGCTCCCAAGTGGCTCTACAGTTTCTCATTCTATTTTTCTCTTTTCATCTCTCCTCTCCACCCCATCTCACTCTCCCCACTTCCCATTCATGCAATGTAAATGTACACATACATATATATGTACACATCCATATTGAGTCATCACTATATTATATCACTTCAAGCACAGACCCCATAAACAGTTAATATGGAATAGGCAATACCATATAAATTTGTCTACATACATTCTAATGTTTACACAATTATGAAACTGCCTAGCAACACATTTCTTGGTCTTAAGTATACATAACTCTGTGAGTATAAAATTCTATTCATTTTGCTTCTCTATAAAACCTTGACTAAACTGTTCCTCAATTTTTATAACCCAAAAATTGCTCTAAAAGTCAACTCTTTTAATAAAAAAATGAACTAGTCAAATAAAAGAAGGAAGAAAGTACAAGCCAAATAAAGAACAGAAGGTACACCAGTACAACACAACTAAACACTGTACACAGTTACAAAGCATAAATAAATGGCCTTCACACCCCAAATAAAATGCTAGAGGGGTTCCCAGGTCCAAGCAGAGATCCCCAGATTATTCCCTGGGCAGCAGAGGAGAGGGTGCATGAACTGGCCTCGTCCCATAACCATACTGATGAATATTTTGCATATCACCATAGAACCTTCATCTGGCAATGGATGGAGATAGAGACAGAGTCCCACATTGGAGCATTGGACTTAGCTCCCTAGGTCCAAATGAGGAGCAGAAGGAGGGAGAATGTGAGCAAGGAAGTCAGGATCACGAGGGGTGCATCCACCCACTGAGACAATGGAACTGATCTAATGCGAGCTCACCAAGGCCAGCTGGACTGGGGAGCATGTGATCAAAATGGATACTCTGAACGTGGCTGGCAATGAAGGCTGACTGAGAAGCCAAGGATAATGGCATTGGGATTTAATTCTGCTGCATGGACTAACTTTGTGGGAGTCTGGTTTGTTTGGATGCTCACCTTTAAAGACCTGTATGGATTGGGGAGGACCTTGGACTTCCCATGGGACATGGAACCATGACTGCTCTTAAGACTAGAGAGGGAGGGGGAGGTGGGAAGGGAGAGGTGGGGAGGGGAAGGTGGGGAGGGGGACGTGGGGAGGGGGAGGGAAAAGGGAGGCGGGGAAAGAACTGGAAATTTTTAATAAATAAATAAATATTTTTAAAAAAGCTATTCCACAAAAACTCATGAGTTATTTTTATGATAGGACACATAAAGACATAAAACTGAAAGTAAAGGGACTGGAAACACTAAAATATAAACACTAATCAAAATTTAATCTGTAGTTGCCACATTATTACTAGAAAAGGTACACTCCAGGGAGGTAAAAAGCAAATACATGAGAGAACTAGAAACATGCATGTCATAATGAGGAAGGGTAAATTCTTCAGAAGCATGTAACAACCTAAACTGTATCTATACCAATGTTGAGGGAAACCAGAAAGAGCTAAAACAACCAAAAAGGAAAAAAGTCCATAATTAAAGCTGGAGTTTCAATACCTTTTCATATTAATGAACAGAGCAAGAACACAGAAAACAGAAAAGGGCATAAAATACTAAGTATCAATTCAATCTAAGTTATTTATATAAATCACTAAATAGCTATTTAGCATCCTCTTGTGTTTTAAGTACTCATTACTAATTTTAATTAAATTTAAAATTACAATATATTTACATCACTTTTACCTTTCCCTATTCTCCCTCTATAATCCCTCCTATATCCCATCCCTCTAAGCCTTTCCAGCTCACTCTCTTTCTTATTGTGGCTACATATAAATATATGTATACATATAAATATATGTGTACATATAAATATATGTATATAAATACAGCCCATTGAGTCATTTAGTATGGCTGTGTTTACAGGATTTCATGGCTAACCAGTTTTTATCGGATAGCCAATTAAGGGGCTCATCTCTGGAAATGCTAATTCTCCCTCTCTCGTCAGTCACTGGAAACTTAGCCAACTACCTGGGAC